AAAAAAAATGGAAAAATATTCCATGCTCATGGATTGGAAGAACAAATATTGTTAAAATGTCAATACTACCCAAAGCAATCTACATATTCAAAGCAATCCCTATCAAAATAACACCAGCATTCTTCACAGAGCTGGAACAAATAATCCTAAAATTTGTATGGAACCAGAAAAGACCCCGAATAGCCAAAACAATCCTGAAAAAGAAAACCAAAGCTGAAGGCATCACAATTCTAGACTTCAAGCTGTATTACAAAGCTGTAATCATTAAGATAGTATGGTACTGGCACAAAAACAGATACTCAGATCAATGGAACAGAATAGAGAATCCAGAAATGGACCCCCAAGCGTATGGCCAACTAATCTTTGACAAAGCAGGAAAGAATATCCAATGGAAAAAAGAGAGTCTCTTCAGTAAATGGTATTAGGAAAACTGGACAGCAACATGCAGAAGAATGAACCTGGACCACTTTTTTGCACTGCATACAATAATAAACTCAAAATGGATGAAAGACCTAAACATAAGACAGGAAGCCATCAAAATCCTAGAGGAGAAAACAAACAACAACCTCTTTGACCTTGGCCACAGCACCTTCTTACTAGATATGTCTCTGGAGGCAAGGGAAATAAAAGCAAAAATGAATATTGGGGCCTCATCAAGATGAAAAGATTCTGCACAGCAAAGGAAACAATCAATAAAACTAAAAGGCAACCCATGGGATAGGAGAGGATATTTGCAAATGACGTATCTGATAAAGTTAGCACCCAATCTCTATAAAGAACTTATCAAACTCAATACCCAAAAAACAAATAATGAGTGAAGAAATGGGCAGAGGACGCGAATAGACACTTTCCCAAAGAAGACATCCAGATGGCTAACAGACACATGAAGATGCTCAACATCACTCATCATCAGGGAAATATAAATCAAAACCACAATGAGGTACCACCTCACACCTGTCAGATTGGCTAAAATTAACAACTCAGGCAAGCACAGATGTTGGGGAGGATGTGGAGAAAGAGGAACTCTTTTGCACTGTTGGTGGGAATGCAAACTGGTTAGCCACTCAGAAAACAGTATGCAGGTTCCTCAAAAAATTAAAAATAGAACTACCCTACAAGCCAGCAATTGCACTAGCAGGCATTTATCCAAAGGATACAAAAAATGCTGATTTGAAGGGGTACAGGCACCCCAATACTTATAGCCATGCTATCAACAATAGCCAAATTATGAGAAGAGCCCAAATAGCCATCAACTGATGAAGGAATACAGAAGATGTGGTACATATATACATTGGAATATTACTCAGCAATCAAAAAGAATGAAATCTTGCCACCTGCAACAACGTGGATGGAAATAAACAAAATAAGTTATACTAAATGAAATAAGTCAGAGAAAGACAAATATATGATTTCACTCGTGCAATTCAAGAAACAAAACAGATGAACATAGGGGATAAAATAAGATAAAAACAGAAAGGGAGGCAAATCATACTCTTAGGTACTCTTACCTACTCTGAAACATAGATAACAAACAGGGTTGATGGCTAGGAGGTGGGGGTGGGGGGCATGGGCTAAATGGGTGATAGGCATTAAAGAGGGTACTTCTTAGGATGCGCAATAGGTGTTATGTGATGAATCACTAAATTCTACTCCTGAAACCAATACTACACTATAACTATCTTGAATCTAAATTTAAAAAAGAAAAAGAAAAAAAAGAACTTGCATTTTGTAGTCAGTCAATCCGTAAAGGAATCCTACGTTTAACATTAGTAGCGTTGTGATCTTGAACAAATTACCATTTATAAACTTTTCTATGTATCAAATGGAGATAGCAATAGTTAACTTGTAAGATCGACCCTTAGCTAAAATGTCGCACCTAAATAACACAGAACCCGGCACATATGAGCATTCGGTGTGTAGTTATTCTTACAGTTTTATTTATCGCCTTTAAGTCGCCCGCGCTTCTAACAGGGCAGACGCCCAGAGAAAGATTTTGAAGGGGGAGGTGGGGGGGGGAAGGCAGGTGCTCTGCCTGGAGGTGAGGGGGTAAGGGCACACCAACCCTGACGTTGTGGGTGGGTCTGGAAGATTTCGTGCAAGTTAAATCTTAGGAGGAGTGGGTTTCAGGTCACAGATGGCAAATATCAAACGTCCCGACCTTGGAGTCTTGGCAAAGGGGTTAAATCGGAACGAGTCATAACGGCCCACCGCTTGCGCGTGCGCCAGCCAGAAAACCAAAGGCCCGCCCTTCGAGTGCCCTAGCCGATCGACATGATCGAGGATCGTCAACTCAGTTCTGGCTGCGGGAACTGCTTTTTCTCGCGAGGCTTCTGACCAGGAGGCTAAGGAAGGGGCAGGCTCAGCTGGAAAGAAAGGAGGAGCGTAAGGTCGCCGCACGCTGCGTTCCCAGGAGGCTTTGCGTGCCCCTCGCTTCCTCCGGGATCTTCTGAGCGAGCGCGTGAACGGCGATTTGCAGAGGCCATGGCGCTTCACGTCCCCAAGGCCCCGGGCTTTGCCCAGATGCTTAAGGAGGGGGCGAAGGTAAGGAATGGAAGAAGGGAGAGGGAGGAGAGTCGACGTAAGGCTGCGGCGGCTAGAGGGAAGAAGGGCCTGGTAACGGGCCGGGTGTGCTCCCTGGGTACAGCGGTCGGAGGCAGAGAAGATTCCAGAAAGGGAGGTGTTCGGTGAAGGGGGGCGAAGGAGGGGATTCGGCCACTAAGGCGAGCGGGCATTTTCTTTCTTCCCCGATGCAGGGAAGGGTCGACGGGAAGAAGGAGCAAGAGAGGCAAGGCCACAGGATTCGTATTCTGTGTTTCCTCGCTGGGCAAAAGGAAAGCCGTTCGTGCATTTTCCTTCCACCCCTAAAACCGGACTGACTTGCCACTCGACCCTTAAAGGGTGTTTTGAGGGTGAAGTCGAATAATGTAGTCTTGGGAATCGCGAAGCCAGTTGACACTGTTCAAGGAGGGGGTAATCCGGAGAGAAGAGGGACAGGGGCCAGTTCTCGACAGTTTTCCTTCGGATGAGAATTAGAGGGCTCCCCGTTTCGTTCGCAGCAGTGCGTTGTGGTAGGACAAACGTTACTCAATCCAAATGGAGTGTATGCCAATTTAGGTTAGCTGGCTTGATGTAAAACCAACCCCCAGATCTTCCTTGCCTCATCTTTAAATTGACCAAAAGATGGTACCTTTGACTTGTAACTATCTGACTTTGTAAGTGTAAGAGACACCCTGGACTAATTAAAACGACTTCGTTTTATGCTCAGATTATGAATGTATTTCAAGAGCATAATTTGTGTAAAACATCTTAATATATACTGCTGATAAATTTGTCTCTTGTGTTCAAATCAAATCTTGGCTTTATTTGTCCCCCAAATTCCCTATGCCTCGATAAAGAGATCTAATTTATTGTCGTGCAGTTTACAGTAACAGTTTTAGGGAACTAGGTCATTGTTTGCAGAATACACTTTTGGGATAATAGCATATCACATATCAGGGTTTGATGTAAATATTGGTAAAACAGCTTTGCAGGTAATGACATGGACTGCTCACTTTAATTTTTTTTAACGGTTCTTTATTTTTGAGAGAGACAACGCACAGTGCAAGCAGGGGAGGGACAGAGAGAGGGAGACACAAAGTCCGAAGCAGCCACCAAGCCCTGAACTGTGAACGCACAGCCCGATGCGGGGCTCGAACTCCCGAGCTGTGAGATCATGACCTGATCCGAAGTCAGACACTCAACCTACTGAGCCACCCAGATGCCCCATGGACTGCTTACTTTAAAAAAAATTGAAATTTTTTCATAATTTTTATTTTGAGGCTGAAATAAACGATCAAATCAGGATAATTTCAAATAATGATAAAGGAAATAAAGAATACTGTAGTAAAAATAAATAAAAAGATTAGATAGAAAGTACTGTAGTAGAGAATGAAGTAAACAAGTCTGCCTCCCCCAAAAAAGGGAAGAGTCAGGAATAGATAGAACCAGTAAATAAGATGTTCAAGGAAGAACTTTTAGCTTAGTTCTAAGTGACAGAAAGAATCAGCCAAGGTTGAAGAAGGCAGTATTCCAGGCTGAAAAACCAGTAAGTATAAAGGCCTTGAGGATGAAAGGAGTTTGACCTGTTAAAAAAGAAAACAGCAAGAGAGGTAATGAGGTTGAAGCTCATCAAGGGAAAGCAAAAATGGTGAGAGATGACTTTAGAGGAGCTGTAGGTTAGGACCAGAACATATAGGACCCTGTAGCCTTCAGGAGGGATTTACATTTTATCCTAAGAGTGACGGCAGACCATTGATGGGATCGGATTTATGATCACATGGCTGTTCCTCAGAGAACGGGTAAAGGGAAAAAACTAGAGTGTAAGCCAGGTCAGACTAAATGCTTTCGTAAGAGTCCGTCAACCCTTGACTCTGAAGACACTACTCCTAAAGTAATGATTATTCACCTCGTTTGGATGACAGTTCCTTTTATGAGTAGTATAAAAGCCACGTCTTATGGCCTAGGATAGAACTGTCTCCTAGAAGCTCTTCAATGATGGAAGTATGTTATATTCATTCTGATACAGTATCCGTGAGCCGCATGTGGCTGCTGGACACTTGAACTGTGGCTACTGCAGTGGAGAAACCGAATTTTTAATTTTAATTACTTGCAATTTAACCACATGTGACCAGTGGCTCCTTTATTGGGTGTAGCAACTGTATAAAAATGTTCACATGAACAAACTGGAAGCTCATGAAACCCATCTGAAGCTACATGTAAATCTCAATTCTAAAAGAAGCCCAGTGTAAAATTTGAGAATTTTCGTATTGTGAGCAGTTCGGCAATTTTTCAATGTGTACACATTGGAATTGTGTTGCAATTCACAAGAGCATTCAGCAGTCAGGATACTAAACATTTGGGCAGCAGGTGTGTTAAGTGGGATTTCCCAGGGATCGGAAAACTGATGGTTTTATGATGCTCAGGCTCCTAACAATAAAAGAAATATACCATATTTCAACTTTTCAAAAAATAATGATAAACTCTGAAGAGGTATTTTTACCTAAAATATATGCTTTGCGTTTTGACGTGTAAGTAGATACATGTAGTCTCTGAAAATGTCATTATATTCAACCAGTGAGCACATTTACGGATCATTTGAAGCACCATGCTTTACATACATAAACCTTGCTTGACTTTTTTTCAACAGTCCTGTGAGGTAGGTACTATTATTATCCCCATTTTACAGATGAAGAAGATTATTGTGTTTCACTGTTTTGTCTAATCAGAAAGGTTTTTGTTTTTGGTTTATTTTACAGCATTTTTCAGGATTAGAAGAGGCTGTATACAGGAACATACAGGCTTGCAAGGAGCTTGCCCAAACAACTCGTACAGCATATGGACCAAACGGTAATTTCTAAATTCATGTTTTAAAAGATACAATACTAGAATTTTGTGTGCTAGCTTCTTCCAACTTATTCTGTGAGAATATGATACATAAACTGAGTTTTAGCCATAATACAAAAGTAATTGTACAGTTTATTGCCACCAGTGTAATGTTTTCAGTTTTTTTTTTTTTTAATTTTTTTTTTCAACGTTTTTTTTATTTATTTTTGGGACAGAGAGAGACAGAGCATGAACGGGGGAGGGGCAGAGAGAGAGGGAGACACAGCATCGGAAACAGGCTCCAGGCTCCGAGCCATCAGCCCAGAGCCTGACGCGGGGCTCGAACTCACGGACCGCGAGATCGTGACCTGGCTGAAGTCGGACGCTTAACCGACTGCGCCACCCAGGCGCCCCTTTCAGTTTTTAATCAACAACTCATATCTCTTTAGAAAAATAGGAATCAAAATGTTAATTTTTATCATATTGAGAGGATAGAAAAATTACGGAGCTTTCACCATTGAGATATGGTACCTGATGTAAGGGAGAGAATCTCTCTTGCCTCCTACCGTCAACTGAATTTAATTGACACAAATGTATGGAAAGCAATAAAACTATACTTTTTTTTCTAATGTTTATTTATTTTGTGGGGGGAGGGGCAGCAAGAGAGGGAGAGAGAGAATCCCAAGCAGGCTCCACACCGTCAGCACAAAGCTTGATGCAGGGCTCGAGCCTACAAACTGAGGTCATAATCTGAGCTGAAATCAAGTCAGACAGTTAACTGACTGAGCCACCCAGGCGCCCCAAAACTAGATTTTTTTGGTCTTTTCTACATGTTAATGTAATTTACATTGATTGAACAAAACTAAGAAGATTGACATCCTCCCAAGTAAACATTATAGGAGATTAGAAAGGACAGGAATAATGACGGGGGTGCCATTAGGGTGCCAGAGTAGATAATATGTGTTGAGTTTTTACAAAGTTACCTTAAGAAATAGATACAAGTTTATATTTCTTGACTAAATTTTGGGGGGTATTTGGAGACAGATTTGAGCGATTTTCCCCCCCTAACTTTTTTTTTCTGTGTTTTGTTTTTTGTTTTTTTAGGAATGAACAAAATGGTTATCAACCACCTGGAGAAGTTGTTTGTGACAAATGACGCAGCCACTATTTTAAGAGAGCTAGAAGTATGTCATTACTTTGAAGCCAAGAAATGTTTTGGTGATGTCAAAAATTGAGTATATATGTATATGTATATATTTTTTAAGTTTATTTATTTGGAGGGAGAAAGAGAGGGTGAGCACACAAGCAGGTTGAGGGGCAGAGAGAAGGAGAGACAGAATCCCCAGCAGGCTCCATGCCATCAACGCAGAGCCCAGTGTGGGGCTCAAACTCAGAAACTGTGAGATCATGACCTGAGCCGAGATCAAGAGTCAGAGATGCTTAACCGACTGTGCCAGCCAGGTGCCCCCAAAATTAAACATATTTTAACATAGAAGAAACCTCTTAGTATAATAAGGGACTATTTTTTTTCCCAGCTTGAAAATTTATTATGTAGTTTTAACTTTTTAGCCGCTTAAATTTAAAAATCTCCCAAGTTATTAATTTATGGAGGCTTGCTTGTGATAAAAATACATTTGCTAATATATCAAATTGCGTATGCTGTCTCATTCTGTAGAGTATGACACCAAAGTGAGTTATTCAAAAATGCAGAAACAGCTGATACTTAAAACAGTGGTTTAAAAAAAAAAAAATTAAACCAGGTCTTTGGCTTTGTGAAAATGAAACACAAAAATGGTGGCATTTTGCTTTGCTTACCTGCAGTTTTGATATTGCAGAGTGTGTAGAATAGATTCTGCAGGCAGAATTATAAGTAAAGTCTGGCACCTGAACATCAGAGAACTATTCCTCGTCTAGCTGCTCTGTAATTGAAAGATGTTTTCAACTTCACGAAATTGTCCTGAACTTAGCTCTTAGAGAATTGTAGCTTAATTTTTTCAAATGAAACTATAGGTGTGTTAACATTTCTCTAACTGCTTAAATAACTAAATAATATTGTTAACGTAGTGAACAAAACAAATTTAATTCCACAAGGAGGAATTAGTCTTTGTGAGTGTTAATGTTGGACGCTATGGTGGTCTCAGGAGTTATTCAGCCATGATGGAAATATTGCCTCAATAAAAACGATAGTGTCAACTTTGTAGTATTCTCACCGCTATTGGTTGTTACTCCTTGCTTGGTTTTTAAACCCTAAATCCAAAGGATAGACTGCTTAAAATCTTGATACCTTTTTTTTTAAGAAACCTCTGTCTTCTAAAAAGCCACAATTGGTACTCCTTACAATAGAAATGTACATAGGCATTGACACTCATGATTAAATGAGGTGGTTATTTTGGTTTTTAATGCCTAGGTTTGGTTTTTGGAATTACTTTTTTAACTTAGTGGACATGTAATTTTCTGCACCTTATGTGCAGAGATGTATGTACTGGGTGACTGGCCATTAAAAGAAGATGCGGTTTCAGGTTGTTTGGATTTGTAGTGATGCATTTGTGCTGATAGTCTCTGAGGGACTGGGACTGTCTTCTGGCCACCGCACTGAGTAGTATGTAACAGTGTGATTTTGGAGTTACCTGGCCCACAGGGAGATTGAAGTGTATTAGCTTAAGAAAAAATGTAAATGAGGGGCACCTGGGTGGCTAAATTGTATAAGCATCCAACTCTTGGTTTCAGCTCAGGTCACGATCTCGCAGTTGGGGAGTTCGAGCCCTGCATCAGGCTGTGCTGACAGCTCAGAGCCTGGAACCTGCTTTGGATTCTGTGCCTCCCTCTCTGCCCCTGCCCTGCTCGTGCTCTGACTCACTCGTTCTCTGTCTCTCTCTGGCAAAAATATATAAATATGTAAAAATAAAAAAAAAATTTTTTTTTAAAGAAATGAAAATGAAAAACTTCACGTTGCTTTCAGGATCAAATGTTTCGCACTTTAAAATTCAAACCCCTCCTACCAGGTACAGCATCCTGCTGCAAAAATGATCGTAATGGCTTCTCACATGCAAGAGCAAGAGGTTGGAGATGGCACAAACTTTGTGCTGGTGTTTGCTGGAGCCCTTCTGGAACTAGCTGAAGAGCTTCTGAGAATTGGGCTCTCGGTTTCGGAGGCGAGTGTTCATTTTGTAATGCACTTTTATTTAATTTATGCCTGTATAGAGTCATCGTTGTAGTAATAGTTAACATTGAGCAGTTTACTCTGTGCCAGGCATTGTAGTACATGTGCTGTCTATGCAGTATCTTACTCCATCCTTATAAGAATCGTGTGAGTAATTAAAAATTAATAAAAATTAATTATTTTTTATTTTAGATGAGGAAAGTGACACTTAGAAAAATCTTACTCAAGATCTTAACAGCTAATAAGTGACAGCATTCAATTTCGGGCCATCACAAAAGCCTACACTCGTGATGAGCACGTCCTGCCATGAATGCTGTTCTGAAAGTGTGCTTTGTCATTTTATATGGAAAACAAATACCCATATTCGTTGGGGTACTGAAATAAGCTATATTTTAGAGTCATGTCAAAATTGTGTCTTTTGAAGAAACACTTTGGCTTTTTACATTAAAGGTCATAGAAGGTTATGAAATAGCCTGCAGAAAAGCCCATGAGATTCTTCCTGATTTAGTGTGTTGTTCTGCAAAAAATCTTCGAGATGTTGATGAAGTGTCTTCTGTGCTCCATACCTCCATAATGAGTAAACAGTACGGCAATGAAGTGTTTCTGGCCAAGCTCATTGCTCAGGCATGTGGTGAGTAAATCTCAGTAAATGAAAAGATCCAAACTAAAAATATTTTAATGAGACTAAGATATCTTCTTTGTTGTCTCCATGCATCTTTTGACGTGTCTCGTTTTCTTAAACAGTGTCTATTTTCCCTGATTCCGGCCATTTCAATGTTGATAACATCAGAGTGTGTAAGATTCTGGTAAGTTTAGAAAATGCATAAGTGTTGTCTAATAGGTCCATTATATTTTGCAAAAAGAAAAAATGTATGTGTTTATCAAAACCCAAATTTTACCTCAGATTTTGAATATTTAGGACTTTGTTACATTTGTAACATTTTGGTATTTGGAGGTTGTAATACTACTATTAAATTTTAAAGGGTGTTTGATGTATTATCTCCTTATGAAATCATCATTTTTCCATCACAACTTTGAAGGTTGAGAATAATGCATCAAATATTACATGTTTTGAATTCTTCATGTGTGCTGAATTAAAACCATAACCTTCAGAACCAGTTTTGAATGAGATGTTCTGTTGATCTACAATAATAGAACTCACGTTACTGTTGTTAGTATTGAAATAAGAGTATTTTGTATTTAAAAAATTTAGTGCTTCCTGTAGTAAAACCTGTGATTGGAGTTGAGTTTAGCTTACGTAAATACAAGGGTGTGTGTGTATCTGTGTGCACGCTCATGCATGCATAGATGCTGTGCCTTTTCTGACACTTGTATTGCTTTGTTCCGTCTCCTGTCCCCAGTGCTAATAGCTGTGCCTAGTACATTGGCACCAGGTATTTGGTGAGTGAGTGAATGAATGACTTAGAAGAGTTATTCTCAGTCCTTGGTTGTTCCCGGTACCCTGAAGGCCCCCCTTTCATTAATAGCTCATTCTCAGAGTGGTTTCTACCTTAAGTAGACTGGTGTGTTTTACATCCACCACCCCACTCCTTATTCCCAGGAGTCACCCCTTAGCATATTATGTTATGTGGAAAACGTTATTTTTGGTACATGAAGAATTAACAACTGAGCCCTGATGTTATTTTCATGAGATCACTGATGATTTTGGTATTCAATTTCTTAGGGTTCTGGTATCTATTCCTCTTCAGTATTGCATGGCATGGTTTTTAAGAAGGAAACTGAAGGTGATGTAACATCTGTCAAAAGTGCAAAAATAGCAGTGTATTCTTGTCCTTTTGATGGCATGATAACTGAAACTAAGGTATGTAGACTTTAAAACCTTAAAAGTAAAAATTTGGGGTTGCCTGTTCGGATTAACATTTTATGATTTTTAAGTTTTTAGGTGGAGATTGTGCTCTTCAGTGAATACTACATAATTATGGAAGATTGTAGCATCACACGCACATACGCATACACATATATACACTCATAATGTATGTGTATATATATATGTATGTGTATATATATGTTACAGGAGTATTTATTTACTTATTTTGAGAGAGAACAAGGGAGAATCAGAGGGAGAGACAATCCCAAGCAGGTTCTGCACTATCAGCACAGAACCCGACGCAGGGCTCGATCCCCTGAAACCGTGGGATCATGACCTGAGCCAAAGTCAAGAGTCAGACACTCAACCATCTGAGGCACCCGGATGCCCCAGGATTATATATCTGCTTTAAAAAAAATTTTTTTTGACGTTTATTTATTTTTGAAGGAGGGGGAGACACAGAATCAGAAGCAGTCTCCAGGCTCTGAGCTGTCAGCACAGAGCCCAACACGGGGCTCAAACTCACAGACCGCGAGATCATGACCTGAGTAGAAGTCAGATGCTTAACCGACTGAGCCACCCAGGCGCCCCTATGTCTGCTTTTTAAAGTCAGATTCCCTTTCTTTTCTGAATACCTAATTCAGATACTAAATTTGAAACGTGAAATGGTGGCAGTGTTGTTTATGTTCTAGTATACAGCTCTTCTTATACAGCATGTTCTTATATGCTCGGCAAGTAGAATGCTCACTGAATACAAATACTTGTGTGCTCTTCCTTAATGTATTTTAATATTGAGGTCCTATAGCATCCTGAAACAATATGCCAATGTAATTTGAAATCGATAGGTTTGTTTTTAAAAATACATGTTACGAAGTTTGAAGTTCTTGTTTATAGGTCACTTCTGTCTTGGTCCCTAGAATTCTTAAAATCTGAGTTCATAGTTGTAGAAGTTCCACAGGTTGGAGATAGGCCAGGAAGAGTGATTGAGTCCATATTCTAGAAAAAAAATTCAGAACCACAATGTGGTTGTTTTGGTACGCTAGTTGACGTTTGTCAAAAGACAAATGCCAAGACACCTGCCCAGTATATCTAAAATAGGTGTAAGTATTTCTCCCAACTACTCCATCAAAGTGCCTGTCAAAGAGGAAAATGCATCAGTTTTGGGAGTGGGAGGGTCAGACCCTAGGGTCTAGGGTCTGAGTTTCATACATACTTTGTATTTCATAATGCATGTATAATCTCATTATTTTCCCCAAATATTTCTTCAGTAAAATGTTACCCAGTGACTTCAGACACCAAGGTACTAAAATGGTTCTTAAGAGCATGTTTGTCTTACTAGGGAACAGTGCTGATAAAGACTGCTGAAGAATTGATGAATTTTAGTAGGGGAGAAGAGAATCTCATGGATGCACAAGTCAAAGCTATAGCTGATACCGGTGCAAATGTCATCGTAACAGGCGGCAAAGTGGCAGACATGGCTCTTCATTACGCAAACAAGTACAATATCATGTTGGTGAGGTAAGACTGCTGTGTTCCATTAACCTGTATAGTAAATGGCCCTTTGCTGGTGAAACACAAAACACATTCAATACATGGTGAATTCATGCCTGTTACAAAAGGGCAAATATAACATCTTGGCTCCAAAAGCAGGACTTAATTTGATCTAGAGACACAGGAAACACCTGTGAGAAAGCTTACATTTGCACTGAGAGGTGGAGCAATCAACATGTTACTTGAAGAGGAAAAAGCATTCCAGACAAAAGAAACAACATTAGAGACCAGACGCAAGCCTGGTACACGCTGTCAGAGTGTGGGATCAGGAATGTCATTTTTAACCTTTGAACCCATTTGTGGGGCACACCAGACACCTGACCTACCCGTTCCCACCTCCAAACCAAATCAGCATAAATCACTCCTCTTCCTCACAGCTCATGCGCTTGCCCAGAGTATAGCAAGTTTTCTGTATACCAGGCCTTCCTTAGTGTTTTAGAACTAGAACTTGTGACATTCTACTGAAACTTGAATTTTCCCAATTCTAGAACACTGCCGTATACACCTGTGTGTGGATTACACTGTGCTGTCCAGAACTGTTCTGAGCTTAAATTCAGGATCAAAAGAATGTGACTTTTGGGGACCAGTGTACGGTTTCCTGTTTCATCTCTATTTTATTGTGGCACCTAATGGTGTTAAAATTTTCATTAAGGTCTTCGGGTTTTTTTAAAGGTTGAATTCCAAATGGGATCTCAGAAGACTATGTAAAACAGTTGGTGCTACAGCTCTTCCTAGATTGGTATGTATTTTGGACAACATTAAAAGATAGTAGAATGTATTGGAATTACTTTGTTTTACAGTAGTCCCTTTCTTACAGACTCCTCCTGTCCTTGAAGAAATGGGACATTGTGACAGTGTTTATCTCTCAGAAGTTGGAGACACACAGGTGGTGGTTTTTAAGCATGGTACGTGGAGATGGCAAAGTATGTTTATTTAAGTGGGGGCTGTTCATTTGCTTGTAGTAATATTTTTAAATTTATTGACAGAAAAGGAAGATGGTGCCATTTCTACCATTGTGCTTCGAGGCTCTACAGACAATCTGATGGATGATATAGAAAGGGCAGTAGATGACGGTGTTAATACTTTCAAAGTTCTCACAAGGGTTAGTATTAGCAGTGATCTTAATTTTAACTGTTAAAGGTAGTTTATGGTTGTTCTTGAGTTAAATATACCTTCAGCTGCTTAAGCATGTTCTTAGTGCTACATCTGTGGACATGCAGATGAGGTATTGTGTGCTGCTCCCATTCCTCACTCTGGTTCTCCTCTTTCATATACCAGACCCTACGTACAGTAAGGTAATTTGCCCAGATTATTCCATTTTTACAAAGTTTGTAATTAGAATTTGAGTA